CTAGAGTATTCCACTTTGTTGCCTTCAAATAAATTGGGCCATATTGCATGTTAGGTTTCTTTGGGTAAAACAAACAACCAAATGATCATAAGTCCCTCGATGACGCTTTCAAAAAAGTTGCCTAAAAAGATCAAATCCCTTCAAAGAAAAATTGCCCAAAGATATTTAACACTATTGCAATTATGGTCTAAACGATGACCCGCGCCCGTCCCTTTTACCTCCTAATACAAGATTTTCCACCAAATGCAATGGTGGAACAAAATTGTCAAAAGGTTTAAAATATAACAAGAATCTTTGAGAAAATTTTAGGGTAGATAACTCTTAGGTACTTGTCAATTTGCAAAGAAAACACTTGCCTATTTTCAAATCACACTTCACAAACACTTTCAAAACCAACTTTCAAAAAACCTTGAAACATCTTTTCAAAAGACAAAACACCTTTTGTAAAAAATTCGAGTAAAGAATTGTTACAAGGGTAGCCTATACAAGGCATCTTTTCAAAACATTTTCAAAACCACACACCAAGCACCATTTCAAACAATTGAAAACCAAGGCAAGTTGATCTAAGCAAGTACCTAAGAGCCCATGGATAACCATGGATAGAAAGGGTGCTAATACCTTCCCTTTCTATAATCTACTCCCCGAACCCAAGAAAAATCTCAAAGGTTTTTGCTGTGCTTTTTAAACCTTTCCTTAGGATAAAATAAAAAGTCGGTGGCGACTCTTGCTCAACCGAAACATTTGCGAAAACAACGCAAAACCTCAAGTCAGTTCTCCCACCGTATCACATATACAATATTGCTTTAGACAACTTCTTCTAAAAATGCTTAGATCTCAAGTTATTAGTTCATAAAGTCATGGTCATGAAATTGAACACTTAGTGAAATTTTGCCCTAGTTTAGGCAGGATTTTGACCTAACTTCATGGCACTTTTTCATATAGTTCCAAGGGTAATTTTCAAAGGTGATTCAAAAAGGGGTTGTAGGTAACATTACAAGATTTCCAAAATGTCCAAGAACTCCTTGAGATCATTTATGAGCAAGGAGAATCGAAGGTCAGAAGTTAGGGCTTCAAGTTGTTTTACAAGGCCGAATTTGTGATGCACAATGGACCAAATCACATAGCCATGCTACATAATCTCACTTTGAAGGCTTATAACTTGAAATTAAATCCTTAATTAAATGTTTACACAACATATGGAGTCATTGTCCAAGCATTTGAACCATTATCCAAGTTGCATTTCCATTTTTGGAAGAAAGGCACCATTGTTATTCTTGAAAAGTGGCTTTAATCACAAAGTGCACTCTCCTTGAGCATTGAACTTGTTCTTTCTGCACACACAAACCCTATAAACCAAAAGCAAGCATGTCCAAAGTACTAACCACTTTATGCATCCCTGTACTTTGCCTTGGAACAAGATGTTTCAACTTTGCTTCAAAAACAAGAAAGATGCTACAACATTTGATTTTCAAATTCTGACTTGTTATAAGACATAAAACATCTTGCCTATAAATACATACGTTATTTGAAAGATACCACACACATGCTTGACCCCTGAAAACACCAAGAACTCAGAGCTGTAACACTTACTTCCATTGTTGCATATTCTGGCCAAAAATCCCAAAATCAAAAACTACTCGTGCGTTTCTTGGCCTTTTTCTTCCAAAAGCTTCCAAGCATCATATATAAGCCATCATTATCCCTGTTACACGACTGTAACACCATCTTCATCCATTTCCAATTTAAAAAACAGAGCATCACATTTGGACTTCTCCAGACCATTCCAGTCACCCTCAGCTCAAGTCAGCCATTACATTAGCTTCCTAGAGGTCCAAGGAAGATAACCTGATCTTCACCACTGCCTGAAACAAGCTCAAATCCATTTCACGATTTCCAGTTTTGAGGTATTTTTCTTGAACTTCTATCTTCATATTTAGGCATTTTTAGGCTTACATTTGTGAAGATAAAATATAGACATCATTGCCCTGAAACTATACATGTTTATATATTTCATTTATTTTGATTGAGCTAGGACAAAATGGAGCAATTTTCATGTTTACGTTTTTGCAAATGGTTGAGAAATGAGCAAGTTACAGATCCTTTGGCTGGAGGTTGAAGATGAAGTGTAATCAGGACGCGTTTTGTGTTATGTATTTATCCTTTCACACAAGTTAACGAATGTATCACCACCCCAGTAGTTAAAGCGCGTGCATGTTACCTATGGGACCTGAGTTCGAGTCTCAGTGGTACCTTTTTGTTCGTTTTCAACATTTTTCCATCTTTTTTTTGCTTCAGCTTGCAGCGCATGGGCTTCTCCCCTTTTGGGCTTTCATTTTTGCTAACCTCTAGTCCCTGACTACTTTTACACCCGTGGCCCATTGTTTTATTTAATATTTCATTTTTCTCATTTATTTTTATTTTATTTCATATTATTTTTGTTATTATTATTACTATTTATTATTATTAATGTTATTATTATTTTTATTAATAAAAATCCAAAAAATATTTTTATTTATTATTCATACTTATATATTTTATTTTCTCTATAAAACAAAAAGACAAAAAACACTTTCTTAAACAAATTAATTTCTTTTCTTAAATAATTAATTTTTAGACTTAGGTTAAATTATTATATTATTTTATTTTCTTAGTTAAGATTAATTTAGATCTTAGAATTATTTTAATTAATTAATTTTCATATTACTTTTGTTTAATTTGAAACTTTTTCATAAAAACCCTAAAAAACATTTTTAACTTAATTTTCCTCCTAATTAATTTAGGTTTAAATTTTGTTTATTTTTCATTTATCGTCTCACTTAATTAGGATAAAACCCCTTTCATAAAAACAATAAAAAAATCATTTCTTTTTTCATTTATCTCCTTGTATATTTATTCAATTATTGTACATTTATTCAATATGGTTGTAATAGTTAATTAGGTTTAATTTTCTTGCAATCCCCATTTGTAAATTTGTACACCCCTCCCCTAATGATGTAATAGCGTAGTGATTTTAAATTCTGCAATTTATCGCTTTATATAAATGCTAGTAATTAGGGTTTGTATGAAAAGATAAAATCAACAAGTAGCAAACCCTAATTCAAGACAAAAACAATGCATGAAAATCAATACACTTGCACACAAGCACCCCTAGGGTAAATCCACTTGGTTGCCTTACAAAAATAGCCACATTACGCATGTGAGGTATCTTAGCAAAGACAAACAAAATATAAGATCATAGTCCCTCGATGACGCTATCTATGTTGCCTTTTTCAAAATGATCTTAGTCCCTAAAGAAAAGCGCTAAGATACCTTGCAATATTGCTAATCATGGTTATACGATGACCCACGTCCATCCCGTTAATATTAACATCCAAAGATAGGGTTACTTACCAAAGCAATGGTAAGATAACAATGTCAAAGGAAAAATGAAATGAACATGAAAGGCTTTTGAGTAGGTAGATTATTCCTAGTTACTTGCTTAATTTCAAAACAAAAACATCCTTGCTATTTTTATAAAAAAAAACAAACACCTACACTTTCAAAACCTCTTTCAAAACTTGAAAACATTTTCACAAGATCAAACACTTTGTATACATTCTTACGAACGCGAATCATTACAAAGTTTGCCTAAACAATGACCTCTTTTCAAAAATACTTTCAAAACAAACACCAAACACTTTCAAAAACAAACACCAAACACTTTCAAAACATGAAATATTTTCGAAAGTCCAACGCTTTGTATACATTCTCACGAACGAGAATCATTACAAAGTTTGCCTAAACAATTGCCTCTTTTCAAAAATACTTTCAAAGCCACACAAAGCACAATTTCAAACAAAAGCAAGTGATCTAGCAAGTAACTAAGAGCCCATGGAAAACCATGGATGAAAAGGATGCTAATACCTTCCATTTTCATAATCTACCCCCGAACTCAAGAAATAATCTCAAAGGTCTTTCCTATGATTTTTCACCTTTCCTTTTGGATAAAAGAAAAGTCGGTGGCGACTCTTGCTAACCGCAATATTTACGATAAAACGCAAAACACCCAAGTCAGTTCTTCCACCGTATCACAGTTACAGTCTTCATACTTACAAAACTCAGTACAAATCAGATCGATTTCTTTCTTCTCAAATTAAATAGTGAACTTTTTTTTCTCATTTGTTATAAGAAATAATAGTTCGACTTAAGAAAGTAATTTCTATCTTTATCAACTAGTTTAGACAACTCAAAGAAATATCAACTAGTTTAGACAACTCAAAGAAATAGAAACAGTGGCAAATTTATATAGGAGCGAGAGGTAGTTATAGTACCCTTCAAATTCATGTAGTCTAGTGGTAAAATTAACCTTATTTTAACAAAATGTCCTGAGTTTGACTCTTGATTCCTTCTATTTCATATAATATCTTTTTTAAAAATATTTATTATTAACCACCGCATCATCTAACCATCCATATTATTTTTTAAAATAATTTTCTCAATATATAACTTTTTTTTTACACCTCAAAAATTTTCTTTAAGATTCTAAAACCAAAATTATGATTATTTAGTAAAAATTTTGAATTTAACTTAAAGAGGCAAAAATCCATAACTTTTCTTTCGGCCAATTTTTTAAAAAACTTTTAAACAAAAAATCATTATTAAACTAACCAAAAATATTACTATAAAAAACGTGTTAAAAAATATATCAGTATCGTAATTATTACATCATGGTTTTTATTATTAAAAAAATACCCCATGTTTCAAACGAGCCCTGCGTGCTCTACTTCCAACAAATAATAAACCCTGACAAGAGGCACCGTGAACCGTATAATTAAGAATTAAGTCAACGGTGCTAAAAGGATAGTCTCGTAATTAACACAGAATTAAGTGACGTTCGGGTTACTTACTCCTATGGAATTTGTGTTACATACCCACCGCTCCACATTCTCCTTGTGTGTGTATATATACATTCAAACACAAGACAGTTAATCAATACTTGTTTTATGTTTTATGACAAAACTATGGTTTGCACTCTCAGCAAAACTACAGCAACTGATCCAGGTGGTGCCGCCCCAATCTCCGTCATGCCTCCAGATGTTATTCAAACTCATATCCTCACGAGTCTCGATGGTCCGTCGCTCGCTTCCGCAGCCAGCACGTGCTCTCAACTCAATATCCTCTCATCGCATGAGCATTTATGGTGCAAAATTTGCAACTCCACGTGGCCTTCCAGTAACACGCCACGCGTTCGCAAAGTAATCTCCACTTTCCCTAACACCTCTCGCTCTTTCTTCTCCGATTCTTTCTCATATGTAATGGCTTCCGCCTCCAACTGCCACCGCAAGAATATTGAAAGCACGCCAGAAATTATATCCGCCGTTGATTTATTCCAGCGGGAAAAGGTTGTTTTATCGAGGGTGGTGGAGACTGAAACCGAGTCTGGTTGGTTTCGGTGTTCTCCGTTTAGGATTGATATTCTGGACCCGAAGGATTCTGTTGAGACGAGCATGGAGTATCCGAGAGAGGAGGAAGCGTGTAGGAATCTGGAAGAGAAATTGAGTTTGAGTTGGATAGTGATCGATCCGATAGGAAAGCGTGCGGTGAACGTGTCAAGTGGAAAGCCGGTGTCGGTGAACCGTCACTGGCTGACCGGCGACGTGAAAGTGAGATTTGCAACGGTGTTACACGGCGGAGAGAAGGGATCAGCGAAAGAAGCGACGGTGTGTAGTTTGTTGGTGACTTTTGGAAAGGAAATGCAAGTGAGGGAAATATGTTTTCAGATTGAGGATATGGATGGGAATCAGTTGAATGGGAGGGATAGTTTGGGGATTTTGCAAAGAGCTTTGGAAGGTGAAAGGAGAAGATTGAGGAACGGAAAGGAAAGGTATGTGGAATTTGTGAGAAAGAAAATGGAAAGGAAAGAGAGGAAATTGAGAAGAGAGAGAAAGTTGGATATTCTCTGTGTTGCACTTGCTGCTTTGTCTGTTGCGGCTTTTTCCACTCTCTTTCTCTCTTGATTATATTTTCAAGTTTCAGATACAGACATACTATGAGAAACAGTGAACAAATTGATGTGAGATGCATTTTACAATAATTGAAATTGAAGGAAAAGAATGTCCGGTAAGTGTAAGTAGTAGGTAATGACTATTGATAGAGAAATGCTTAATCCCACTATAGTTTACCTATGTACATGAAAATTTTATTCAATGCAACTTGTAGATTTTAAATACTATTGCTTATGTTTGCTTTTCACGGTTCCAAATAAAACTGTCTTTGTCTTTGTCTTTGTCATTCATAATCATAAACTAATGTACTCCACTTAAGGGTGGTTTTTATTTTGAAATTTTGTCTACTCCTATGATAGACACCATTAATTATTTTATGTAGTAAAGTAAAAATCAAAATATTAAAGTGTTAGTCAAATTTAAGTTATTAAAATTAAATAATATAAATGACTATGAGGCGTGTTTGAGGACAAGTTTAAGATGAAAATTAGTGTCTCAATTATCCCTTTCATATCTATTTTTTGAAATATAAGAAAACCGAAACTCAATTTGATTTTTTCGTTAAACTTGTGATGAATTTCGTTTGAAATCTAAGAATATCCAAACTCAATTAAAACGTGGTTTTTTTTTTGTTTGTTAAACTTGAGGTGAATTCTAGCACAGGTTTGTGTTTAGTTGTCTTTGTCTAATCACATTTAAACATTATGTTTGGCAGTGTTTTGAGTGTTTTAAATGATAGTATCTCAGTCTTTAAATATAAAATTTAGTAGATTAAATTACATTAATTACAAAAATTGATTAAATATAAAATTTATTGGTTATTTATACAATTTTATAAGTATATTTTTAGGAGAGAGAAATAATTAATGTTTATATAAGTGTATTTATTACATATTAATATAATCTAATTAAAAATATATTTGAAAAAAAAATTAATAAATTTTAAAAATCAAAGAGAATCTTATAAAAAAGGACAAGAAAAAAAATTCAAGAAGATCTTATATAAGAAGTTATTGAACTTAATTAGACATTCAATCAATAATTCATAATATTTATGAGTTACAATCATTTTGATATTTTAATTTTTTTTTTGGTAAGAAGGAGGGCCGAAGTCCACTAATATTTTAATTTTTATTAATTAACTAATTAATTAATTATAATTTTACTAATTAGATAATATTACTGAATTCGTATTTTTGGATTCTCCAATTCCCTTACAAAAACACATTTTAGAAGCATACATAAAACTTCATTTTATTTATTTATTATAAAAACAAAAAATTAGTTTTCCTTAAGAGATAATTTTAAAAAGAATTTACATCAAAGTCTAGTTAACTTATAAAATTATCTCAAAAATTAATTAAATAAAATAAAATGTGAAACATATTTAAAATATAAAAAAGTCAATAGATATGCATACATGCACCTAATAAAAATGTATGATATTGAATATTAGAAATAATAACAATACAATTCATGAAAAATGACAGAACTTTCAAATGATTAATATGTTTTTGTTGAAAGATTGTATATGTGAACGATCTTCTTGATTCTCCCTGCATACGCCATTAATTCTTCCTTTTTTTGTGCCTTTTTTTTTTTGGCTTTTTGTTTCTCTTTCATATCTTTTCTCCTCTGTTTTCGCCTTCTAGTGGGTTGATTGTGTTGATTATTATCCTCATCTTCCATCTTTCTGGAGCGAGTCTCGTGGTTCTCCTTTTCTGGGTGGTGATTCTTTACGAGTTTTGATCCTGTGTTTTTTAGGTTAGTGTCTCTTCTCTCGGGGTATTTGGGTTTCACGTCGCTTTGATCCTCCGTTGCAGGTTTCCTCTGAGTGTTTTAGTTCGTCGACTCTGGTTCTTGAATCTTCGACGTCGCTGGTTCTTGAATCTTTCCTCGATTTTTCTACAATTGTGTGGTTACTCCTCCTTCTTGCTAGATCTCCTTGTTGTGATTCTTGTTGTGCCAACTCATCTTCTGAATAAAGTCTGGATTCTGATAATTGTTTGAAAAATCAGCTAATAGACTATCATACTTCTATGAGTAATGTTTCTATTCTCTTTAAACCTTATTACTACTATTGTATTTCCTTCAGAACCCTAGTAATCAAAAGATGTTTCGGTCAAAAATGTCTTTGATTAGATAGAAACCTTTTTGGTCCTCCAGACTCGGAGGATATCAAACGTGTCATTTAGTTAGATGTATTGATTAACATGTGTAACCCTTGGTTATGCTTAATCATCACACGCTATCTAAGTTATGCAATGAGCAGTATACGTATCTCTTGGAATTTGATTGATATCATAATTATTACTTTCATTCAATACTCCTAGTTATTATATTTAATTGTATGTATTTTTATTTTTATTTTATTTTCTCTCGCTTCTCAAACACTATAAATCACACGTTCACTTCACTCCCACACGTTAGAAACCCTAAACCCTCTTTTCTCTCTCAAATGTTCAACAAGCCTTCTGCATTCTTCAACAAACCTCTATCATTTTTCATATCTCACCAACAATGATGACTCCTAATCAACAAGTTATCGTTGAGTTTGCAAAAGAAGTGGAACAAAGTATGAGTCCAACAGCTCCGTCTTCATCAACCATCACTCCATCTTCATCAACTGTGGTTCCTTCATCTTCTGCAAATCCTATTGATGTCAATCATTACACAGAAAATTTATCAAGTTCATTGCAACTTAAAACAAAAAGAGTTGATTGTTCTTAAGGAATTAATGGTTGAGTTTGACAATCTTTATGCAAATGGGTGTAACTTAAAAGAATTATTAAAGGCTCAAGGCTGGGAAAACTATTTTCAAAGGCTTCATGGTCCTGTCTATGAGGCGCTAGTGACAAATTTCTGGAAAAATGTTGACTGTGATGACTTTCTTATTATTTTGGGTGTTATTGGACAGAGAATCATCACCACTGAAGAGTCCATTACAAAACTGTTGGGATTGACGTTTTTGAAAGGAAAACATGTGTGTGGATTAGACAATAAATCAAAGGCTGCAAATAAATCTCTAGATCAACTACTGTTTATGAATTTCTCTGCTGAAAAATCCAAGTACAATAGTAAGGATCTTCATGATAATCTCAGAGTGTGGCATAAGATTATTCTGGGATGCATAAACCCTAGACCTCCTTCAAGTTCTTCTGATTATTTCAACATTAATCCGAAGATCATGTTATACTTTCTGCTTTCCAAATAGAGGATTAATCTTCCCTTCATTCTGTTTAATCATCTGAGGTATTCTATTAGAAATTCCAGAACCATTGCACTTCCCAACAAAAAGGTATCTCCCAATATTCCTTGTGGACGTCTTCTAACTGATATTTTTTCTGAAAGTGGCTTGGTAAAGTTTTTGATTGAAGAAGCCAACTATAAAGAGGATCTGACTCCAAGCATTGGAGATTCCTTTAATGGGAAAACCTTGAGGAACATGAGGTTGATTGAAGAACTCAATGTCAAGCCTCTGATTGAACCATCTGAGAGTTATCATCACAAAAGAATTCTTGTAATGACTATCCTCTATTCTCCAAGCAAGATCATGTATTCAGCGTGGCTGCATATGTTCTAATGATGCAACAAGAAGGACAAGATATGTCAAACTTTAACTACTCATATTTGTCCATTGAGGGTGTTAATTATTTTGTTGGTAAAAGAAAGAGAAGCTAGGATGCTTCTGAACCAGAGAAGAAAAATAAAAATAAAAAGAAGTCTGGATTTCTGGAAGATGCCATTCTGGGAAATGAAACTTCAGTAACAACTAGTAAGTCTGTTGCTGATACTTCTGTAATCATTTCATTTTCTGCTTCTAATATTGTTAATGTATGTTCGTACACAACCTCCACTACACAAATTAATCCTCTTTCACCATCAACCAGAACTACAATTGTTTCTGACTCTGTTACTACTTCTACTCCTTTTTCATCTGTTTCCTTTACACCATCATTTTTAACAATTCATGTATATAAACCAACAGTCGCCATTCCTCCGTCTGATAATTTCAGTTCTTTTTCTATTCCACCATCCACCACATTTATTTCTGTTTCTGATCCCGCTCCCTTAACTTCGGAAAATCTTGATTCTAAAACTGTCTTTACAATGTTACCTGTAACAACAACTGCCTCTACCCCAAACACCATAACCACTTCCGACCTTGCAACCACACACGTTTCTAACCTACTCTCATTCATCTCTACACCCATACCATCTCAACCTATCTCTACCTTCTCTTCCCCACTTGTCTCATTATTATCACAAATCATCACATCTCAACCATCATTAGAAATTCTTAGTGTTTCTGATCCTTGTCAAAATCTCCATGTTTCCCTTCTGTTAGCTTCTGAATTCGACACCTACTATATTTGGTCTTTTAGACCAAAACTGGAATAAATAAAACCAAGTTGAAGAATGTTTCAACGTGTGAAATGACTTATAGAAAATATCTAAGTTATATTTGAGTCTTCGACCAGGACTCACTTTCAAGATTTCGACTGAGAAGGTCTTATGGCCTTCGACTAGAAGAGAATATCCTCGCGTCGACACAAAAGGGGAGGAACGTTTGAATTTGAATTATTGGAGGGAAAGACAGTTTCACCAGTGGCTAAAGGAGAGCAACGTGGCTGGAAGCTAGAGGTCGAGGGACATGCAGAGGACACTTGTCCTCATCTTAGCACAAAACCACCCCTCGACAGTTACATAGTTTTTAGTATAAAATAGGAAATCTGTGTAGTTTTTCTGGGTGTTCACCCTATTGTGCTAGTTACTCAAATATTGTCTAAGTACCCGCTGTGTGAGAAAGGATAAACTGAGAAATGTACGTTGGAAACACCTCTTTTCATTAATAAAAGTATTTTACATTGCTTTAATCTTATTCTGCAAAGTTACTTTTCCTGCACCTTTACCTGCATTTCTACATTTCTATTTACTTTCTTACTTTCCAAAACCACAAGTATCTTGTCTTTGGTCGAACGTGCGTTCTTCCTGGATTCCTTTTCTTACTT